GACTGGTAAGAAAAAGACAATTTTATACGTAACTGTAACAAATTATATAATTTTAAATGAATTCATAATTAAATTTAATCATCATAAAATAGGTGCTGCAATTAGTGAATTTGAAAATTTCGTCCCAGGTCTGGAAAATTTGAATGATGGAAAATATCCACCAGAAGTAACGGTAAGTTTATGTATTACGGTTATAGTGATGATTATAGAAAAGATGTTTAGCAAATAACGTTCAACGGTTATATCTCATTTATTAAATCAATAATATTTCGCTGATTAGCCAAAAAAACGGACTTTAGATGATCCATATTCACAATGTAAAGAAATTTCTAAATCCACTAAATACAATAATAATGATAGTATTAGAACTTCCCGGAAATCAAATAGAGAAGTAAATTCAAAAGAACCCCTGCGAGTCTTATATTTAATAGGTTCAAGATGTTTTTCCATTCTGAAACCTGCGATACTAATGGTTCTGTCTGGTTTGGATTGCCTAAACATCGTAAGTAATTAAAAAAGCATGGATAACTTTACTATTTTATTTTATTGATTATATTTATTTATATTTTTACAGATATTTTAATTATTGCTAAAATGTCTGCAGATGTCGTCATTCAGCATATTTTTCCAAAGCAATTTGGACTTCGCAACGTGTTTGATCATGACAGTAATGGTCAGCCAAGCGTGCAATCACTCTTCCAATTTTATCAAAATCGTATTACTGAGATTCAGGTTTTTAATAAATAAACGATCTGTTATACGTATATATTGACTAGACATTAAACATAAATACGTACTAATGATGCGATTTATTTTTAGAAATCTAGTGCTGACATACCTTCTTATTTAATTCAAGTGTTGCCTCTGATAGATGAGATGATTTCACGTCATAAAAAATATAAATACCGATACCCAAGTTTACTCGACAATTATTGTCCTGTTATGGTGGGAATGCATACGTATATTACAAAATCAAATAGATACAGATAATTATACTTTTTCTTTTAATCCTAACAGACACAAAACGGGTTATCCGCCCCTTCTACGGACAATAAATCTTATATTCAGGATTTAAATTCTAGTTCAAATATATATCAGGTATTTTTACATTATAGTGAATAATCATTGCGATTGAATATTTTTATTTTCTAGCATCCTAAACTTTTGTTTGTATTTTAATAAACATAGATTACCACATTTGTTCGTGCAGTATTGCGACAAGTAATTCCAAAGGAGTTTTGGGGTTGTGATGACAATCAAAAAACAGTATTTAAAGGTAATATATTTAGAATAATTGAAATATTTATCGCTAGTGTAATTAAATTTTTTTTTTAATAGCTGTAGAAAAGTTTATCGCGCTCAGGTTTCATGAAGAGTTCTCGTTGCAT